CAAGCCCTGAGCCATGGGATGGCGGCGTCAGCGGGACGCGAAGGTGAATCAGCCCGTTTACGTAGACGGCGTGTAGCCGGTAGACAAATGCACGGCATTGTGCTGTGCAACTCTACGAGTGGCAACATGGCGCTCCAGCGCCTCGGCGTCTCAGCGCAGGCGCTGCGAAGAACGTCTTTGATGACGCGATTCGCCCTTTCGGTTTGACCATACCTCGCGTATAATCCGCTGTCGACATATCTAACTTGGTGCCGAGCACCTTGAAGATAGTCGACCAAAATTCTCCCGTGAAACGGGGGTCTCTATCAGAGACAATCGACTCTGGGAGTCCATGTTGTCACAAAACACGATCCACGAACAGCGTTTGTGTACCAACCCCGTCGATGGTGTCTGGCACCGCCGCCAAATGAGCCATCTTGCTCAAACGGTCGACGAATACCACGAAACCGTGTTGCCCGCTGAATCTTTCGGCAGGCCAAACACAAAGTCCAAACTCATGGACTGCCAGCTCCCAGTGGGTACCGGTAAGCTGGCCAGCGGCGCAGCCGCATCTGGAGTGAGTTTCACCCGTTGTCACGTCTCACACGTGCGCACATAGGTGCTCGTATATTTGTACAGCTTGGGCCACTAATATTGGTAACTCACAGAGTTGTACGTTTTCTCACGACCAAGAAGACCACTTTGTGGCGTATCGTGAGCCACATAGAGGGTAAGATATTTCAAAGCCTCATCATAAGGAACCACAATTCGTGGTGTATCCGTTGAATCCGTGCTATAACATAGCAAGCCGTTATTCAACGAATATCGGTGCAATCGTGCACGCAGTCTTGGTGAAAATTTCTTTTTGGAGTCTCCAAACTCCTTGCTCCCGACAGCCCGAAGCAGAGCTACACACATCTCATCACCCGCATGCGCGGTGCGGATCAAATCCGCCAGAGACGACGTTATTGTTGTAACATGAGCAAGCTCATAGTCTGGCCTGCGTGTCAGCGCATCAGCCAAAGCATTCTGCTTTCCCGGTTTACATTTCACCTCGAGGTTATATTCTGCAAAGAAGGATAGCCATCTAGTCATCCTCTGCGAGAGGTGAGGCTACTGAGTCGCAGTACGTAGTGACGAATGATCTGTATAGATCACAAACGGCTTGGGGCCGAGCAGATGGGCCCTAAACTTGACAAGTGCATCCGTGCGTTCAGCTCTCTCTTGGTGTCCTTCAAGACAGCTTCATCCAGAAGCGATGACGAGTTTATCCATTCATTCGGTCGTACAATGACCACTTCAGCCAAATCGCCTGCCTTCAAGGCACTACCGAACTCTTCAGAGGACATCTCGTCCAGCTTCAAGAAGATCATCTACTGCAGGCATAGCCTCGAGGCGGACGTCGCCATCTCCCTCCCCCATCATACCGCTGACGAGGGTGTATAACTGCGCACCGTCGTCTAAGGTAGACACACCCTGGATCAGGGTCGACGTCCGGCGTACAGCAGCCAGCATACGGCGTCGCCGTCATCTCTGTACAGAGGTTATATGTCTTGGTGAAACCAGAAGGAACACGCATTCCGCGTCGTCCGGTGTCACCCTCACTGTCCACTCCTTATGAGCTCCGATGTTATTTACAACATCCGACAAAGAGTTGCTAACCCCGCAGTCTTCGTCCAGTGGATAACGTGCCACTCCACGCGCATCTGAAGGGCCGCGCCCAAGATGCCTCGGTTTCTGTCCGACCACGCCATAAATGGCATGCAGCGACTGCTT